CCCCCCTTTAATGCCCTTTCTAGAGTTTTAATCTTTTCCTTATCACCTCTTTATTCATCATCGTGTGTCAGAGGGCTGGAACTGGATGAGCTCTAAGGTTCCTTCCAACCCAAACCATTCTCTGATTCGGAACCCAGTTGTGCACAAACATGAATCAAAGCCTCAGTGTTTGATCAGATCTAAATTGAAGCCAGAGCTTTGCTCTTCTTGCAAAACCTCTTTCAGTTTCTGAAGTGATTTGTCAGGAGTAAACAGCCTTAGGATGCTGGAAACTGCTTTTCCCATGAAGCAAGGAGAAAAAATATCTCTAAAGTCCTCTGGAGACTGGATTACCTTGACTAAGCCACTGGGGAGGAGTGAGCAGAGCAGAGCACACCTCTCTTTACTTTTATGTGCTTAGTAAATGTAAGTATCCATCTGCTAAGGCAACTGGCTGAGATTTTGATGAATATTTGAGGGTGCTGGGAAGCTAAATCCTTTGAATCTCCCAAAGGAGCCTTGAGACCATAGAATGATAAACGTGCATCCGTTGCTCGGGATGGTATATGTCACACTGTATTTTGAACATCACCTTCTCCTAGGGTTTAACCCCACCTCACCTCTAACCTGTAACACTTACTTAGTCTGAGAGGTGGAAACACAAATCCTTCTCCTAACTGAAGAAGAGGAAAGGTGGGAAAGGAGGGTTAAGCTGCCTTGAGAGCAGCCCTGGGCAGAGGGCTTTTGAAGTCCTCCTTTTTAGCAGCCTGCAGCTAAAGCTCTTTTCCTGTCCCTTTCCTGTCTTTTTCGTATCTCTTTCCTATTCAGGTAGAACACGTTCATTTCTACCTGAATTACAGGTTTCTGCTTTGGTTTCATGCCAGGTTGTATTTGGCTTCGTTGAGTAAGTTGTATTGAAGAATCAGCCTGAATCAGATCCTCCCAAGCATGGGAGGAAAGGGAAATACCCAGTTCTCCACAGATCCTCTCCCTGGCATGGGGATGTCTCTTGCCTGGACTCGGTACCACCAATTCCCATTGCAATCCCCTAAAACCTCCTCAGAAGCTGCTCTGTGGGAGCCTGAACCCACCTGCATGTGGTTCTGGGCAACCTGGTCCGGTTGAAGATGTCCCAGCTCATTGCAGGGGGTTGGACTAGATGAGCTTTGAAGGTCCCTTCAATCCAAACCATTCTGATTCTCTGATCTTTCCTCACCACAGCTCAGGAAGCTTTGTGCTTACCAGCTCTGGCCTCTGCTGTTGCACGGATGGACACTCATTTGCAGTTAAGAGCCAGACTTCCTGTGGTTGCTTGTCCCGTGAGCCCTGCGGTTCGCTCGGTGCCGGTAGCGGCATGTCCCGGCTAATCCTCCAAGCACTACATTTCTCCTTTCCTTATTCACTGCAGGTTCTGGTTGCCCCAATAACAGACAAAGGGCACACATGGAGAGACATCTACCTGCCTGGAGAGGGGCACGTCTGGATGGACACCAACACTGCCCGTGTGTTTGACGGAGGCACCATCCTCAGGAACTACTCTGCCGGCCTTGCGGAGGTGCCGGTCTTTGTGAAGACCTCCTAACTCCAGACTGCTGTGGCTCTGGGGCCTCTCGGAGCAGCACTGGCCACATGCGCTCGCTCTTCCCGAGGCTCTTCCAGCCTATTTGCACTTTTCCAAGAACCCTTTTTATCAGTATTATTTTAGCAGCAGTTGTTTGAATCTTTTCTTACTCGTTGTTGTTCTAAAAGAGGAAATGCAGCTTTGGCACAAAGACACATCCACGTGGAATGGTGGCCTCTGTGTCTCCAGGGTTTGCCCAGTGAAAGGTTTGTGTGTGAGTTCAGGTGGGCACATCCAGCATTTCCAGGTCCCTGGCACCATGTGCAAAGATGCTGCCTTGGTATATATCAGCTTATACCTGATGGGATGCTTTGTGTTTGAAGACAAAGCATATGCAGGGAAAAGCTCTCTTCATGTGCATGGACATCACGTGTGCTAAGCACGACCTGCTTCTCTCGCCTGATGCTGGGTGTATGGTCCCCCAGGACAGTCTTTGGTAGCAAGACTGTGACTTTGAGGATAACCAGGAAAACTGGGTGAATTCCAGGTCTGTTGGCTGCAGGTTTCTGTGGAAGAAGAGTAAACCTGACCAAGCAAAGGAGCAGCTCTAACTGATGTGGCTGGACAGGATCGTTGCCCACCTTGGAATACAACCTCTGGTGCTCAGCACTGAACTCCTGTGGGCCCCAGTGAGGGCTCTTCATCATCTGCTGAACTTTTTGGTGATGGTTATTCTTTTTCTCTCAGTTATTCTCTGCAGTGTCGCAGGGATCCAGCATGACCAGCCTTCTTCCATCCAGCAGAAACCATTCCATAGGCAAACCAGCTGTCCAATGTGCTGAATGTGCACCTAAGAGAGGCTAATCATCTCCCAACAGCCCAAGTTACGGGTTTCGGGGACATCAACATGTACGTTAATGGGTGAGTTCAAAGGCTGGTGTTTGAGGGCAGGATGAAGTGGCAGCTGGGACTGAAGTGAAGAGCAAGACTGTGCTGCTGGGCTTGGGCACATCCAGCCCCCAGTGATGAACTGCATCAGCACCTTGGATTGTTGTGGAAACACTGCTCTACCAAGCTGTGGCTCTGCTGAAAAATGAGACTTAAGAGGTAGCACGTCCTCCCAGTTTCCCCCTGAAAATAATGGGAGTGAAGGCAAAAGATGAATAACGCTGATCCAGCTGTGGAAGCCCAGCGGAGTGAGAGGTGCAGAGCCAAGGCTGGGATGTGCGGTGCCCCTCAGCTCCTTGTCTGGTCCATGGAGGTGCAGGATGGGGCCAGGGGGATCACCGAGAGGAAGATAACGATGCCTGATGAGGCAGCCCAAGGCGTACCAGGAGCCCAGGAACTGTCATCGTACCCGCGATGGCTCCCGAGATGTATGAAGAGGCACAGACTGAATACAGGAACCTCTTGCCAACTGTAATATAGAAATTAATTGGAGAGGAGTCAGGTGCTGGAACGGGTTCTTCAGAGGGGTTCTGGAGGCTCCATCCTCGGACGTCACCAAATCCTGGCTGGATGCAGCCCGCTCCAGCAGCAGCTGTTGGCGTTACACGGT